TGGGGCCCCTGCACCTCCTCCTCTTGCCAGGGGCCAGAAGGGACCGGCCTCTCCTTGCAGCTTCTGGGGGCCCCCATGTGCCCGGCAGCCCCCTCCTGCCCCTCCCGCTTAGCACCTGACCGCCTGGCCAGCCCAATTTGGGACATGGCCTGCTGCTTCTTTCCCAAGAGTTATATTTATTGTTTTAGATTAAAAATGCCCAGAATAGAATCTGCGTTGCTCTCCAAAGGTGTGAATGTTCTGGAAAGCTTCACTCACAACATTTTGAAAGATGCGGCTCTCCTGGGAGGGTTCCTCTCCCTGCCTCTTCCCCCCACTTGGGCTCTTAGAAATCCTTTCTTAGGGAGCACGGAGTCCGGTTCTTCAGTGCCCTGGAGGTGCTTGGCCTGCCTCCTCCTCCTCCTCCTCCTCCCTTCACAACAAAAGGAGCCTTTTCTCTGTGTGCACAGAGCCTTTTCCTGCGAGGAGCCATTCTTACACAGGGGAAGGGGAGGAGGAGGAACACATACGTGCTGACCCTGACCAGCAGAAGCAAAGCACTGCAGCCTTATTCACCTAGTAGGAGATCGGCCCCTTACTCGCCGTAGATGGTTTCTGATTGCATTGACTGGCCTGCGCTGACCTCCTAAAATGTGCTGTGAAATGCAGAAGACACCAGCGATGTGATAGAAGCCTTAACCTTCGTGTATTAGAAAGTGTTAAAAAGGAGATGTGGATATTGGTGTGTAAACACACACACACAGTCACAATTATGACTGTGTTCAAGGAAGTAACAAGGGGGAAGCGGGGAGAGAGAGGAAATCAAAACTAGCAGGGCCAAATGAGAGAACTCTGCGAGGCAGAGAGTCCCTCGCCTGCTTCCTGAAAGAGTCATTTCCACCGTGAAAACAGAAACCAGCTCGAGAAGAAACGGCTTATGCGGGCACCACATTGAGTTTCCTCAACTACGGTTGTTGCTCGCGGCCTTGAGCAGAAAGGTGTATATAAATATAATAATGCAAACTGAAAAACAGTAACGCGTGTCAAAGAAGAATTTCCTCAAGGAACAGCCTAGATAGGTGCTTTCATCAACTTCAGATTAAATTTCCCTTTAATCGGGTGGTTCCTTGGATGATTTTGTTCCCCGTCTTCCGTGTTTCCGGCTCAAGGCAATTTAGCTCTTGGCAAGGAAATCTCAGGCTAAAATTGGGGCCCGTGCGGTGCCGAGGTGTTGCGGGATAAAAAGTCAAAGCGTCTTTAGACCCAAACGGATCATCAATTCAAGAGTCGGATTCCTGGTTTTCCATTTAACATTTTACGATTGTTTCGTGTTAAACTCGGGTCTCTTAAGTGCTGACATTTCATGGGGCATCACCCTTTTGTGATTGGCAAACTTCCTTTAACCGGTCAGTTAGTGCTGTATTTCTATTGACAAATGGAGATTTTGAGTGCTGATAAGACTCAGAAAGACACATTGGGGCCTGAATCAGACATTAGGCGAGGAAGACGCCTCACCTGGCAGCCTGAGGTCACGGGTGGCGTCTGAGGGGAGCAGCCCCCACACACCCCCTTCAGTAGGTGAGCCAAAGGGGGCCCTCCCCCCCCCCCCCCGGAGCAGGCCCCAGAACTGCAGGGGAGGCTGGCCAGGCGGGCAGACAAGCAAACGAACAGCCCGAAAGAGAAGCCAGGAGGTTCAGCCCCAGGGAGGGGCCCTGAGCCGGTTCCTCCAGGAAGTGCCTGCTCCGCGCAGGGCTCCCTCCCGCCTGGGGTGCGGCTGCTGACCCAGCCCAGCGCTCACCTTTGCCCCAGGAAAGTCCCGGGGGGGTCTGAGCCTGCCTACTCCAGACCGGAGTCCCAGCCAGTCAAGCCAGGACATCCAAGAGCTTTGCCCCCCCTCCCCCCCCCCCCGCTGGTCCCCCCCTGCTTGGGCTACTCCTAGCTGGCTTCTCCAGCCCCTCCCCCCCGCCTGAAGTGGGGGCAGCCTCCTTTATTAACCCTCAGGACTGAGGAAGAAGCGGGCGACCCGGCTGTCCTGTAGGTTGCCTTCTTTTCAGATACTGTTCTCCCCCTTTCTCTCTCTCCCCCCCCCCCCCCCCGTGGGTGTATACAAGTGAGAATGAGTGTGTGTGAGTGAGTGATTCACCTGTTCCAGCAAGGTGGAGCTCCTGCCTGGGGCCCTATAAAGTGTTGGGAGGAGCCACTGCGTAGGAGCCCCTGAGGGAGGCTGCAGGCTGCGCCTCCCGGCCGTACCTCCCGAAGCTGGATCGGACCTCGGGATCCAGAAAGTCCCATCCATGAGTCCCTGGGTGATCAGAGGATCATCTCTCTCTCTCCCCCCTGCCCCCCCACCCCCGGGCAGCTTTCTTTTCAGGGAATTTCCTTCGGCCGCCTGCGGTCCTGGGCTGCCCCTCCCGGTAGCGCCCTTCCCCCGGTTACGGCCTGTTGCACTTGCCCTTCCTGCCCCAATTCCGCTGCAAAACCTTCAGGGCATGAAATCCCGCTGCGGAATGAGTGCCTGGCCCAGAGCAGAGCGGCCGGCCGGCCGTGTTTGTGGCGGGGCCCTTTGGGGGGGGGGGGGAAGAGCAAGGGGCCCTTTGCAGAGGAGGCAGCTCCGGTCTTCGGGCCCCCTCGGAGCAGCCGGCTAGTCTCTGCCAGGGCTCACCCTCCGGGACCCGCTCCTTTCCCACAGAGGGTGCAGATCTGGTCACCGGCCGGTGGGGCCCAGTGGGGCCAGGTTTCCTCAGCCTGATGCTTCCATGGTGGCTGGGAAGGACGGGAGTCCAGCATCTCCAGCAGGGGTCCAGTTGAGGAAGGCAACGCAGCTGCTTCGCCCATTTGGCATTCCTGCTGTGGCCAAGAGAGGGGGGGGGAGACTGTGTTCTCCCTAATTAGCATGCGTGCTGGAGGGTCGGGGCCCTTCAGATTTCGGCACACCCTCCCCAGTTGCTAGAAGTGGAATCCCGAGAGGGCCCTTGGAGGCCGCAGAATAACTTCACCCAGACCAGTTCAGGAGCCTGCAGCAGATTCTCTTGTAAAGAAGATACATCTATATTTGAGGGGTGGGCGTGTTCGTTGCTCCTATGGGGCAAGCCCTGGCTGAGGCAGCAAAGACACCCTTTCACAAATGCCTCCCCTCTTCCATGGTTAACTGAACCTCGGTTTACTCCACACCGTTTCCTGAGGAAGCAGAAGTGTGCAATTCAGGAACCGCAGACGGACCACATCCACCGGATTTGCACACCCTTAGCTAAAGTGCGGTTGGCCTCTTGCACAATCTCAGCCCCAGGGGTGGTGGGGACGGGGGAGGGGAGGGGAAGAGGTTGCCTTGCTGGGCAAAGGGTCCTGGGAGGCCCCTGGAAGGTCAGCATAAACCTTGGCTTCCCTCCGGGGAATCCTTCCTCTGTCCTGGGAAAACTGAGCCTGGATGGGCCCGCCTCTTCCCCTCTCGTGGTCCAAATCTGGACAGCACGTGCCTTGGCTTGGCCGTTTCCTGGATTTGACCCCCGTGCTGCAGGAGGTGCAAATCACAGCTGGCAAATGAGGAGGAATGGGGTGGTTTGGCTGAGCTCGGCCACTGCAGCTCCAACTCTCAAGAACAGAGGTCTCCAACTGTGGCAACTTTAAGACCTGTGGACTTCAACTCCTGAGGAATTCTGGGAGTTGAAGTCCACAAGTCTTAAAGTTGCCACGGTTGGAGACCTCTGCTCAAGAAGGTTGTCTAAAGTCGACCCCTGAGATTGGCTAACCCCACCCCGAACCCATGTTTAAAATGACCACGGCCTGAGGCAGAAACGCACGTAGCGTCTGACACGGCCTTCTCTTCTTCGTCCCCTCAGTGGTTCTGATCGGCGAATCTGGAGTGGGGAAAACCAACCTGCTCTCGCGCTTCACCCGCAACGAGTTCAACCACGACAGCCGCACCACGATTGGGGTGGAATTCTCCACGCGCACCATCCTGGTGGGAGACGCCCTGGTGAAAGCTCAGATCTGGGACACGGCCGGGCTGGAGCGCTACCGGGCCATCACATCGGCGTGAGTAGAGGCAAAGGGGGCTGCGCGCTGGGAGGTCCAATGTCTCCTTCCTCCCACCTTTCTCAGTCTCGTAGGTTTTATTGGTGCTTTGCGTGACCTGATCAGGTGTTTGCAGGTGTTTTCCACAGAACCTGTTGGGTACACGAATGAGTCATAGGAGAATCAGCCTGGATGTGGACGTAGCCAGGGCATATCTAGACGTGTCTTAGAGGAACATCTTGCAGGTGTGAAGGGGAAACTTGTGTCTGTCATACAGGATGACTGGAGTCACCTGTTTTCTAGGTTCAACATAAACGGAAGCAGCTGAGTTTACATCATCTGATACTAAACTTTCACACCCTGGTTTGATGGATGACATCCATGTAACCCTCGGGCCCTGTGCTGACCTGGTTAAGCAAAGTGAACACACTCAGTCCATGTATTGCTGTAAAGACAGCACAGATGTGGGGCCCTTGGTGCTCTCTGAGTTTGTTTTCTTGCAGACATTTCATTACCCAGCTGGGTAACGTCATCAGTGCTATCTAGCACAGATGATGTTACCCAATTGGATAATGAAATGGCTGCAAGGAAACAACCAAGTTCGGTGAGGACCAAGGACGCCAGAGTTGAACCATGAGCTACAAAGAGTCTCCTTTACTGGTAGCAACGCTGTCTCTGCGCCCGTGTATTTTACTCTCCTTCTGCGCTTAGCTGAATGGGAAGAACCCGGTAAGCCAAACTTCCGTTTCTGCGATGCATTTGTGGCACCAGAAAGGCACAGAAACGGTGTCCTTGCTCAGTGCTGTCCTGCAGATCCTTGGCTGCCTTGTTGACAGCCCTGGAGGGGATGCTGTCAGCGCCGAAGACTTTGGTTCCTCTGAGGAATGGCATCTCCTGGCCGAAAAAGGGCCACCAACCACCCATCCAATCCCTGGAGATACCAAGCAGAAGCTCAGAAGGATGAGCCTGGTGGCTCCTCTTCCTTTCTTGTTCCTTCTCTTCACTTTCTCTCCCCATTATCTGCCACAGATACTATCGTGGGGCGGTGGGAGCCCTCTTAGTGTTCGACATCACCAAGCATCAGACGTACGATGTGGTGGAGCGCTGGCTGAAGGAGCTGTATGACCACGCAGAGGCCACCATCGTCGTGATGCTGGTGGGCAACAAGACAGATCTGGCCCAGGCCCGAGAGGTGCCCACGGAAGAGGCCAAGATGTATGCAGGTAGGAAGGGGAGGCTGCCCTTCCCCAGAGGGGTGAGACCCGAGTGGCCGTGGGTGCAGCGCTGAGCTCAAGGCAGGACATGGTGAAAAACCAGACAGGCTGCTCCAGGCCTCGTGGAAGTTTTGGATGGCAATCCCCATCAGCCCCAGTAGTTCACAAGGATGGCATCTGCAGTCCAAAATAGTTTGGAGGTAATTAGTTGACTTGGTTTTCAGCTGGGAGCTGCAAGAGGAAGGAAGTGGCGTGCCCAGCAATTTATTCATCCTGATTTAATGATCTTAATACAACACATTAAAATGGGCATCTGAGAAGAAAAACAAACAGGCCCAAAGAAAATAGCAGACCAGTCCTTTTTTAATTTTTTAACTATAGCACCATCCTAATCTTTAATGTCGACATTTCTTCTCTAAGATGGCGGCTGTTTCCTGAAGAAGGAACCGGTTTCCCTCACACTGTCTTCCTGTGAACAGGAATAAATTTGAGTGGCTTTTTCACACCTTTTTCCGGTTAAACTCCATTGCTTCTTTGGCCACTGAGGGGTTTTTTTCTGTCTTCTCGCAGAAAACAACGGGCTGCTCTTTGTGGAGACCTCCGCCTTGGACTCCACCAATGTGGAACTGGCATTCGAAACCATTTTGAGAGGTAGGTGGGGGCGACCTGAGGCAGGGCTGCCTTGGGACGACGGGTTGCACTTTGACTGCCGGTCGAGATTTGGCTTTCCACTACACAGGGACGCCTCTAACGCCTTCTTTGCTTGGAGCTTGACAGACTTCTACCTGATTATCCAGCAAGAAGTAGCCATACTGTAATTGCCATTGTTTGGGGGGTGGGGTTTTCTATAGTGAACCTCTCTTAAATTCACCCGGAAGTCAGTTTGAAAATTCAAGATTTTCCTTAGTTTGGAGTTTGGGGTCCACAGCAGACTTCTGTCCTGAGACAAACGAGTCCTGCTGTTCAACAGAATTTGGTGGTTTCTGGACTTCTTCCGGATCAGAGTCAGGTTGGCAATGACCGTCCGGAGCTTTAAGAGATGCTTCTAGCCCTCGGCATGCCAGGGCTCAGCTGCCAGGCCCATTGCAAGGCTGCTCAAGGCGGGGGGGGGCGTGTAGATATTTATTTCTTCTATGCCCCTCCTGGAAACAGGTTAGATTCACAGCTCAGGCTCTAGCAAACTCCAGGGAAGAGTGCGCCCTTGTCACAGCTTCTCTTCCTCTTCCTTTGATCCTCCTTCCTCTCCGCAAAGGCCCTTCCGAAGGGTCAGGATTTCCTGACCCTCTGAACCACTTTCTCAGCATTGGCAACTTTCAGCCGGGTGGACTTTGACTCCCGTATTATTATTATTATTATTATTATTATTATTATTATTATTATTATATTATTTATTTATTTATTTATTATTATTATTATTATTATATAGTATAACACATATTGCATCATATCATATTCTAAGTTGTATATTCTAATACAGTATGGAGAATTGGTGATATCTTTGCTGCAGATGTAAAACACATTTTATTTTTATTTTTTTCCTGTTTCTAGATATTTTCAACAAAGAGCAGAAGAAGAAACAGAGGAGCCCTCTGGACAACAAGATCTCGCTCTCCACCGAAAATAGCGACGTGGCATCTACCTCGGCGGCCGCTGAGGGGAAGAAGTCCTGCTGCATGAACCTCTGAGGGGGCCAGTGGATGGGAGTCACCGGCCGGCTTCATGCACTGCATGAAGCCAAGAAGAGAGTTTAATCCTGGTTTGCCCAATGAGCCAGTGGCTGGGTTCACATTAAGCCAACATTAAGCCAGGATAGGCTAAAAGCCTGTTGTACTACTGCAGTTTAGCCATAGGTGGACTTCAGAATTTCTTGACCTGGTTTGCCTACGTCACCTCTGGGAACTTGGTCTGGTGTTGGAGCAACATAGGAAATCGTTCCAAAGCTGGTTCTGGATTGGATCCAGATTCACCCACATGTAGAACAGACTCACTGAAGCCAAGGGGCCAATTCTAAGCCCAGATATCTGGCTGTGCCTGTGAAACAAACACTTTCCTCCCTCCCTCCCTCCTGCCGGTCCTTCCAGCCACTGATGCCACGGAGGACTCACCAGTTAGGGCCTTTCGCTCCCTGGCAGCATTAAGGGCAGAACCTGGGCTGGAAGAGGAGCCGATGGGAAGGGGCTTCCTATCTGATCTTAACCACGATTCCTCATAGATTATAACCCTACCTGAACCTCTATGTATAGTCATTCCGATGGTGCTTAAAAGTGTTTGCTGACCTGGGTTGGCGCGGGGGCTTTTTCTGCAGATGCCCTGGACACACACAAACACACACACACACACACACACTTGGCTACTTGGTGCTGCAGCAGGAACCCCCCTCCTCTCTTCTGGTCCTCAGCACTCCACACCCATTTCCTTCTCACCAGTTGAAAGAGTGAAATGAGAGGGTTAAAAAAAAAATCATGGATGAAATCGGAAAGAATTCCGCCATTTCTGGCAGAAAGACGATTAAAAAAAATAGTCTTCCCACCCGAACCAGGATCAAAGGTGCACGGGAATCCATCTTGGGAAGGTGGTCCGGGCAGAACCCCAGCCCCTCACTCTGGCCACCCTGGAGAGAGGTTCGAAATCTGGAAAGGGTTGCCGTGCAGGGAAATTCCCTGGCGTATGTGGAATCCGCTAATCTAAATGAAAGACAAAAGATTTTTTTTTCCTCTGGAAGGAATAAAGGAATTTTATTGGTCTGGAAGCAGAACCTGTGAATGGCGGGCAGGACAGAAGTAGTGTTCATTTATGAAAGTGGACTCCTAGGAAGTGGTGACGGTTGGTGGATGATGAGCCCCTCTAAGCAACTGGCCAAAGAGAACTTGACCAAGACACACACAAACCATGGTTACAAGCCACAGTAACCAAGTTCAAACAACATGCTAAAACCATGTTTTGCTAGCCCCTTTGAGCCATGTAGATCAGATGTGTAGCCATGTCAATTTAGGAAATGAATACAAAGAAGTCAACAGGCAGCTGATGTTCTAGCTAAGGGCAGTGGGTGGGCCCAGCTACTGGGTCAAGGAAACAGGAGTTGCGGCTTTCCGCACAGCCCACCTGCACCAAATTGTGGTTGGTTTTCACCACAGTTGGTTGAGAGAATTGTGCCTTATCATGCCTGTATATAGAAGTTGGATATAGATGGTTCTTGAATGGCGGGGTAGGGGAACAAAGGAAGCCGCTTCCTCTTGCCCACCTTTGTGATGTTGAGCGATGTCTTCCCTTGGGAATAGTTGGCTCCATGGGGCCAGGGTGGATGGACCACGAGGAGACCCACAGATCCAAAGAGACCTCCGTTGAGTCTTCCTGGCTTAGGGAGCTGCAGCTGGACCAGTCAGCCCGGTCAGAAGCTTAAATTCCTTCCTTGCTTGCAGAGAAATGAAGCCGAAAGTCACAGGCAGCCCTCCCACTGCGGAGATTTCCTCGGTGGGCTTGAACCAGGTTGGGCCTGGTAGGCGCTTCTTATGCCCTCCTTTGGTGGCCTCAGGTGGACAGTCCTAACTTGCAGTCATTCCTTTCGCTTGCGTGCATCACTGCATTCTTTTTTCTAACTCCTCCATCCATAAGACACGTGACTTTGTGGGATGGAAGCCTCTCATATTGTGCGTGTACATTTATAAATATGTATGTATATATATATAAACATATTTCTAAATAAATTGTTCCGGATGACGGAGTGCATATTTTTACCAGGTGGCTTGATATGAGGGTCCTTTTAGGGAAAAGTATGTTTGGGGAGGAATGGGAGGAACGGGACTCTCCCAGACAGGCCACCAGCTTCAGAAGACCTCCATCCCTGAGGACCAGGCAGGGTTTAAGGGGGACCTCATCTTGCTGGGTGCAGGGAAACAGGCGGAAGAGGCCGCCATCCCTCCCTCTCCAACTTCCTCCCTCAACCCAGCCAGAAGAACAATGCCTGCCAATTCCTCCTCCTGGCTGAAGGTTGACTATCCACTCCTTTGGCTTTTCCTTCAGGGATGCCAACCTCTCTGCCAAGTCCAAGGGAGAGGAGAAACGATCACGGCAGGTTACCACCAGGAGTCAGCATGGAGACACCCAGAAGGTCATCGCCTTGCAGCAAGTTTAGTCAAATAAAAAATTGAACCCAGAACGTGGAATAATATTAATAAGAAATCTCGCTGATCAACTGACCCCAAAGAACTTCCTTATTACGTGGTGGGAAGGCTGTGGATGCTTTTGACAAAGTGCCCCATGACAGTAAAATTAGCAGGTTCCTTAAGTATGGGCTGCCTGACATCTCCAGGATATCAAATTAACATAATGTGGTATCTTGGAACTGGCTTTAATTGGTATAAATTTACACTTGCTAGCAACCAGTTCTTAAGTAGTTTGTTTTTAGTTGCGCATCATGCAAAAGGCCAGGAGACCAGGGCTCACCCAGCATCCCTACAATCTCGCAAAGGAAAATTCAGGTTACGCAGCCGGGCATTTTCCCAGCAATGAAAATAATATTAAATTGTCAGGCGCTGATTTTTAATCTGTTTCAGACTTTCAGAGGATCCCCCAGCAAGATCCATGGATTGCCATTAATGTAGCCAAGTACTCCCCACGGATAGCTAAACTCTGCCCTAAGAAGAACAGTGAATATCAATAACTGTTTTAAAAAATTGATTTGGTGTAATTACCAGAGCTAGGAAAAAATGATAAAAAATGATTTTTCCAGCCCCAAACAGCCGTGCTTCCTTAATTCAGATTTAAGCTCAGATTAAATGTACTATTAAAGGGCGAGGCAAAGTCACAAATGCTGTACTCGGTCTGTTCCAGCTGACCCACACACAGTCCTCTACTTATGTCCACTATTGGGAGCAGAATTTCCATAGCTAAACAAGGTGGGTTAAGTGAGCCACTCCCAATTTTATGACCTTTTCTGCCACAGGTGTGAAGTGAATCAAGCAGTTGTTAAGTGAGTCACGCTGTCATTAAATGAATTCAGCTTCTTCGCTGATTTTGCTTTTTGGATGCTGGCTTGGAAGGTTGCAAACGGTTATCTCGTGACCCCGGGATCATGCGGCCACTGTTGCAAATACATGCCCGTTGCCAAGCCCGTTAAATTTGGTGCGACTACGGGGGATGCTGCATCTGTCATAAGTGTGAGGACAGGTCACAAATCCATTACAATGTTGCTGTAACTTCAAACATTTGCTAAACAAAGGGTTGAGGACTACCACCTTCAAGGACATTTTACCTGTGATTCTAAATCTGGAAAAGGCAAAGTTTGCTGTCAGTAAACCTCGATGAAGACTTTTCCAAGAATAGCTGGCTTGTAGACAGACAGACAGATCCCAGACTGGGCTGATGTGGGAGGTTTCAGACATCTGAGGAAGTTTCAGCCAACAGAAGCAGCCCTGGTGGTCTCTATTTGCATAACTGACCCCAGAATTTGGCTTTGGGGGGTGCTTGGAAACAGCAGCTGCACACCCCACCTATTTCACTAGGATGGGAGTCAGTTCAGAAGTAGGTAAACTAAAAACCGGGCAGAATCCCGCCCTGGTTTTCTCCCCTTCAGGTGGAATGAGGCGGCCCCTTTAAAGAGCCGGAGGGAGCGCGCGCGCACACCTCCCCTCCTCCTACCTGGCCAGGTGAGCAGCCGGATAACCTGCCTGCAGTCAATAGGGGCGAGGCCGGGCCAATCAGCGCCACGGGAGAGGCACCAACCCAGCCCGGAAAGCCTGACCTCCAACCGCCTACCTGAAGCCGGCCCGACGCAGGAAATCGCCGGGCCGTGAGATCACCGCCAGCTCTTCCGGGCGAGAGGGGGGACGCGCAGGTGTGGCTGACCGGCTCCGTCGGGAGGCAGCGCAGAAGTCCGGGCGCGATGCGGGGCAAGGACGACGAGTACGACTACCTGTTCAAGAGTGAGTGAGAACTTGCCGAGTCGGCCTCCACCCCCGCCCGCCCCCCCCTCTCCCCTCGGGCTCACCTGCTGCCTGCAAACGCGGCTCCTTTCTCGTTTTCTCGGTTCCGGGGCCGTAAGAGGTTTGCAAGCCCCTCCCCGGTTTCGCCACGGCCGTTCCGCAGAGCCGGTGAACTTTCCCTGGTGCCTGCCGGCTCGTGGGGATCCCTCTTCCTTCTCCTTCCCCCTCCCCACTCCGGACTGAACCAGCGCCACCGCTTCCGTGGGGGAGCCTTCGCGGAGCGCTCACCTGACTGTTCTAGGTGGGCTGCGACCCCCCTGCCCAAATCCCGAGCCAACGTAGGATTCTGGGAATTGCAGCCCCAGCAAACGGAGAGGACAGCCCTGCAGGGGTAGCTTCATTCTGCCCCCCCCCCCCCCCCCCCCCCCCGCCCATAGCCCAGGTAGGAGGAGCCACAGGTAGAGAGGCTGAGGGTCATTGTAGACCCGTAAGCTGCCCCCCCCTCTCCCTTTCATTCCCTTGTCAGCAGGTCTCATCCCAGGCCTGGACCTCCCAGACCCTAAAATCTTTTCATTGACCTGACCAGGTGCTGAGACCTTTATTCAGCAAAGGGGGTGTGGGAACTTGAAGACCTGTGGACTTCAACTCCCAGAATTCTGCAGCCAGCTTTCAATCAACTTTTTAGCAACTCGGAGTGGGAAGGAAGGAAGGAAAACAACTAGAATTAAGCTTTACTAACTGTGGCATTCTGGGAATTGAAGTCCACAGGTCTTCAAGTTCCCAAGATTGGACACCCCTGAGTTAGATGCTGCTTTCCCACCGCCTTTAAGCCTTTGGTGCCCATTTCTCTGTTTATGTCAGTGTTTCTCAACGTCTGCACCTTTAAGGCAGGCAGATTTCAAGCCCTCGAATTCCCCAGCCAGCCAGCCAGGTATTTGGTCTTGGGAACCTGGTGCTGCCCTAAGAGAGCTTTCCAGCAGGTGAGTCAGGGCTGCCTGCCTCTCAGGGCGGCTCCTTGCGGGAGCTCTGCTCTCACCTAGCAGGGCAGGTGTGGGATGGGCCACGTGCCACACACGTCACATGCAGGTTTGCCAGAAGCCAGAATGAGGGACATGCCAGTGGTTCAGGAGGGGGGGCGGGATTCCCTTTTGTGGTTCTCTGGGAAGAGCAGAAGGCGCATCCTTTCCGCACGTCTTATAGGCACAAAAGTGGAAACACACACTTGTTCCCACAAGGGAAGAGATTGTCAAGGCGATGGAGCTAGCAGAGAGAGTTTGAATTGAAAGAGAAGGATTGATGTAGTTTTCTCCTCGGAAACCACTTCTGGACTTTTTACTCGAAAGATTTAAACAAATAAATAAATTTGATTTTAGGTTTCTAGGACTAGAATGATTTCGGAGTTATAGAAATAGCTTGAAATGTTGTGAAGTAGAAAACAGAAGGTTAAGATGAGGGTTGTTTTTTTGGTATTTTACCGCACTGAAAAAAAGTTGGAAAAATGTGCATTTTTATTTGATAATGAAACAACGAATGAAGAAAAGGAAGAGCGGAGCGGTCCTCTCTCCATAAACAGGCCTGGAGTTGCTTTGTGAAGCTGCCTTTACGCTCCTGTCTCCCGTTCTTTTTCAGATGGGAAATTCATGAGTCGGAGCCTCCTTGAAGTGTAGTGCAGGGGTCTCCAACCGTGGCAACTTTAAGACTTGTGGACTTCAACTCCCAGAGTTCCTCAGCCAGCAAAGTCCACAAGTCTTAAAGTTGCCAAGGTTGGAGACCCCTGGTGTAGTGCATTTTACTGTAAAGCTGTTGTGAGCTGCATTTTTCCCTCTGGATCCATAGTGCTGCTTAACAGGTGTAGGGTGAAGGGGAGGCATATTCTTCAAGGGGGTGAATCTGTCCTCAAACTTGACAGCTTTAAAACTGGGTGGACTTCAACTCCCAGAATTCCCCCTCCTATCATTTAGCTCAGGAATTCTGGGAGTTGAAGTCCACAAACTTGCCAAGTTTGAAGACCCTCAGTCCAGAGGGAACTGTTGCATCCTTTAACAAGAGTAAGGGGTTAAGAACCCAGCCTGAAACTTAGGGATGAATTTAAACCCCAGCTGCCCTCCGTTCTGTTGGGCCGGTGAGTTATGTTATTCTCAAGTGGCCATTTTGAGATCAATAAAAATATATCCTATCTCTATTCTAATCTACATCATCTATGTTCTATCATGTATGTATGTATATCTATTATATTCACCTATATGAAGTACTCCCCTCCATCCCTCCATTCATACAAAGAAATTTCCATCTCCCTCAATGTGTTCTGGGAGATTCAAATGCTCAAATTTTGTTATTGTTTGGCTGTGAAATGTGAGGTCAAATTGCTTGGGGTAAAGGCTGGCCTGTTCTTTGGCTCAAAACAATTCAGAAAGGTGGATGAGATAACCCGCTTCACAAAAACGGAAGGCAAGGAAGCACAAAAAACGCCATTTTCACAGGGTTCTGGGGGTATTTTAATTAACCGGAGTCCCTCGCCTCTTTGCAGTCGTCCTCATTGGGGACTCGGGCGTTGGGAAGAGCAACCTGCTTTCGCGCTTCACCCGGAATGAGTTCAACCTCGAGAGCAAAAGCACCATCGGGGTGGAATTTGCCACACGCAGCATCCAGGTGGACGGCAAGACCGTGAAGGCCCAGATCTGGGACACGGCTGGGCAGGAGCGCTACCGGGCCATCACCTCTGCGTAAGAGACTGGGTTGCTGCCCCTGGGTGCCCGTGGGGGAGGGGGGGGGAAGGGGGTGCCCTGGCCAGGCAGGGTCTCCTTTTCCAATGGGAAAGTTAGAGTGGCTCCCAGCCTCTAATCTGGATTAGCTTGTGAAGGCTCCCCGGAGCTCAGACCTCCTGCTTGGCAGCCCAGGTGAGCTGAACAAATCCATCTAGGGTAGTATTTCTCAACCTTTAAGCCGGGGGGACTTCAACTCCCAGAATTCCCCAACCAGCCATGCTAGAAAACTGGAAGTAAATGCCATTTTTTTTTTGTGGCAAATATACCATGAATTGCGGCCACCTGATCATCAGATGCTGGAAATGGCAGTTAAATCGGGCCAATTCTGTGGGCTTAGCAAGATGTCTCCCCATCTACGCACAAAGTCCTGTAGCCCCCCCGGGAAGAGCAGAGGCCGCGTTGGGATGGGGGCCTCCCGTGGGTGGTGGGATTCAGAGGTTGCTGAAGGTCTGGTTCTGCAGGCAAGTGACCCTCCCCTCCCCTCCCCTCCCCTCCCCTCCCCTCCCTGCTGTAGCTACTACCGAGGGGCAGTAGGTGCTCTTCTGGTTTATGACATCGCCAAGTACCTGACCTATGAAAACGCAGAGCGCTGGCTGAAGGAGCTGCAGGACCACGCAGATGCCAACATCGTCATCATGCTCGTGGGCAACAAGAGCGACCTGCGACACCTGCGGGCTGTGCCCACGGACGAGGCCAAGAGCTTTGCAGGTAAGGCTCCCAGCCCGTGGAGGGGCCTCTCCTTCCTTCCCCCGAGGAGGATTCTGCTAGCTCAGATCCCTTCGTCCGTCCCTCTTGGCCACAGGAAGGGACTTGGGCTCATCGCGACTCATCCGTGCTCTTAAAGGCGCTCATTAGCTAAGCCCTCGGCTCCTCCCCTCTTGTATCCTGAAGGGGGAGAGCCTCAGAGGGGGGCTGGGTCAGACTCTGGGTCCACGGGGTTGGGTGCCCCTCCAAGGGTTTTGACCAGGCGTTTCCTGGGCCTGGAGCAAGGGGGAGGGGAGGCCTGCAGCGGTCAGTGTGGGGACAGACTCGGCCAGGGGCCCACAGCTCCTTCCGCGAGTCCTGCTGTACAGAAGGAGCACTGGGTTTAAGTCTCTGTGCCTTTTCCGTTGGCCATTGGAGGCACGCGGGAAACCCAGGGTTGTGAAGATGTCACTGGTTTTTTTCATTCATTTTAAAATTAGGGGGAGGGACGAATTAATTCACTTAAAAACCCTTGTCTGCACACTAAGTTTCCAGGGAGAATTATAACTTTGGGAGATAAACATACATATTTTTTTAATTTTCTAAAGAGACACCTAAGATTCCTGGATCCTCATTCTGAACATTGTGTCTTCTGGACATACAATCCTCACTGTCTTTAAAAATGAAGGACTACTTTAGGACAGTGATGACGAACCTTTTGGTGGTGGTGTGCCGAAAGTGCACACGTATGCCAGCACCCACAATGCAATGCGCCCCGCCCCCCCTATACATGCGTGAGCAACACCCTCCCCACCCCCTCACCTGCAATGTGCATGCGTGTGCCTCCCAGCTGATTTTCGGCCCATTTGAGGCCGTTTTCGCCTTCCCGGAGGTTCAAGGGAAGCCTCTGCAGCCTCGGGAGGCTGAAAAACGGGCCTGTTTCGGCACTTCCGGTATTTCTAGGTTTGAGTCTCAGCACTTAATGGGGCGCCTGGCATCTGAGGGGCACATGAGGGTTGGATGGAGCATTTCACAGAGACAATGTGTGGACCGTCTCTGACGGGTGCTATCTTTATGTGTCTCCACCTGCCCTAGAAAAGAATGGCTTGTCTTTCATTGAGACGTCAGCTCTGGATTCCACCAACGTGGAGACAGCCTTTCACAACATCCTGGCAGGTACGTCCAATTTCCCTTCACACCCAACCTGGGCGGACACAGGTTGTGCTCTGATTTGGGAGCGGCAAAAGGCAGGCAGGCAGGCAGGCAGACCCACCTCGGATGTCACCAGCACCAAGAAAGGTTGATGGAGGGTTCCTTGCAGGGGGGGTATATGGAGGTCAACTCCTATATCCCCTCGGTGGAGGCAGGGTCCAAAACACACCTGGGAACCTCCTCCTGGGAATGTCTGGGCAGGCATAGAGGCCTCACATTGTACGTCTCTCTCGATCTCAGGAGCTTTAAGATGGGTGGATGTCAACTGTCTGGGAGGAGTTCTGGGAGTTGGAGTCCACCCACCACGAAACACAGCTTTAGAGGAAGTTGTGCCTAACTAACGTTGGGGCAAGAAGGGTTTGGGGAAGGCTTGGTCAACCTTTCACCCAGGGTGCATTTACCCAGCGGGTGTAAATAGGTCAAGCGAAGAGGGGCTTATTCTACCTTTGTACAGGTTTGTATTTTTGGCCTTTGGGTGTTCCATGACTGCCTTTCATTAGGCCGTTTTATACTTCAAAGCGACAGAACACCCTGTGCTAAGCAGCTTCTCCTCCTCCTCTGTGTAGGGGAGTCTCAGAGCCTCTGCAGGCTTCAGGACAGGTGGCCTCCTCCCTAATTCTGCAGTACTCGAACTTTCCTTTCAGGAAGGCCAACGCAGTACAAAAGAAGGTGACCCCTACAGAGCCATCTCATTGTGTTGTGTCACGTGCAAAGCTATGGAATCAATTATTAATGCATTACCTTCCACCTAGAGTCAAACAACTTACTGTCCAATAAGCAATTTGGTTTCAGAAAAAAGTTGTCCTGCAGTTTGCAACTTCTACACTGCAAAAACATATGCCCTACACTTCTTGACCAGGGTAAATCAATAGATGTAATTTACATTGACTTCCGCAAAGCATTTGACTCAGTGGTACATGACAAACTACTGTTAAAATTAAATTCTTACAGCATTTCTGGATCCCTTCACAAGTGGATTGCTGCCTTCCTGTCAAATAGGCAACAAATAGTAAAAATAGGATAACGCCCTATCAAACCCTGCACCAGTTATCAGCGGTGTCCCACAAGGGAGTGTTTTAGGACCCACACTCTTTATACTATATATTAATGACCTTTGTGATCACCTTATTAGCAGCTGCGTCCTCTTTGCTGATGGTGTAAAACTATTCAACGCCACCGTCAATGCTACCGTCCTTCAAAAAGACCTTGATTATCTGTTTGAATGGTCTAACAGTTGGCAGTTCCAAATCTCTGCCAACGAATGCTCTGTCCTACATATTGGTAAAAAAAAAATCTATATACCAAATACAAGCTAGGCAGACATGACCTTGTTGATGACCCTCACTTTGTCAAGGACCTTGGAGTTCTGATATTGAATGATCAAACACCAAAGCTCACTGCAACAGTATTGCCAAAAAGGCTTTAAAAGTTGTAAATTTAATTTTACGAAGCTTCTCCTCTGGTAATACTGATTTGCAAACTAGGGCATTCAAAACCTTTGCTAGACCAATACTTGAATTCAGCTCTGCTGTCTGGAATCCGCACTGTATATCAGAAATCAATACAATTGAGCGAGTCCAGAAGTATTTTACAAGAAGAGTACTACATTCCTCTGTTTGCAACAGAATACCCTACAGCACCAGGCTTGAGATTCTAGGCTTAGATAATCTTGAACTACGCTGTCTAAGATTAGAGTTAAGCATAGTACATAAAATGATATGTTACAACGTTGTACCAGTTAATGAATATTTCAGCTTTAACAACACAAGAGCACAGAACAGGTATAAACTCAATGTAAACCACTCCAACCCCTTGATTGCAGGAAGTATGATTTCTGCAACAGAGTGATCAATGTCTGGAACTCACTACCTGATTCTGTGGTCACCTGCTCAAACCCCCCACTCCTTTATCCTCAAACTAACCTTTATTGACCTCACCCCATTCCTAAGAGGTCTGTAAGGGGTGTGCATAAGCTCACAATCGTGCCTACCATCCCTGTCCTATTGTCCCCGATTATTAGTTCCTATTTCTTGTATTTAAACTTATATTGGTTCTTGTTTCTGCTATATTGTAAGCTCTTGACAAAATAAATAAAATAAAATACCTGGGAAGTTGTGTAGCCCGGCAGATGAGGAAGTCACCTGAGCCCCACCCTCTGCTAGGTGCCAGATCAAAGCTTTTGGAAATCCCCATGTTCTGACTGCTCAGTGTCTAAACACGGAAAGGAGAAGGACTCCCTGCCACCAGGGTTGAAGGGCTCCCTTTGCTGTGAGAATACGACATAATGCGGGCAGGGCCATTGGATACGATGCAGCACTTGATATGCTTCAGAAGGGAACTCGGCCGATCTTGTGGGATCTCTGGGCCAAAGTTATTTTTTTAGCATCGATTCTCTTTTCCTCTCATGGCTGCTTCTGGCTGAATGCCGAGCTGAGCTTCTAACTCCACTTGGCCTCCTCTCCCTTTTCTCCTCCTCCAGAAATCTACCGGATCGTATCCCAGCGACAACTTGCAGGAGGGCAGCCTGAGACAGAGTTCAGCCATGGGACCACCATCGAGCCCATCAAAGTCTTGCCCACCCAGCAGGAAGCGAGGCAGACCCCTTGTTGCCAGAACATTTAACCTGGGGTGGGACACTAAGGGAGGGGGCCTTTCCCTGGCGAAGGGGGGGGGCAGCGCCTCCACCAGGTGCCCGGTCTGCTCACTCTGCGTCCTGCCCACCCACCGTTGCCCCACACTGCTTGAAGCTACCCCTTGGCTGCAGCTGAGCCCCCCACCCCCACCCCCAGAGGCTGCCCAGCCCTGGATTCTCCTGAGGGAGGGGCTGCTCCTCAGCCGCCTAGGGAGCCGCTGACCAATTTGGGGGAGGGGGGGGAGGAGGAAGCATGAAGGAGGCTGCTGAACGGCCCCCGGAGGTTCTTGTGGAGTTCCCCAACTCTTTGCCCCTCCGGATGATGGGCAGCAGCTCCCTCGGCCTTGAAAGAACTCGAGGGAGAGCCCTGGACCCCTTGGCCCCCGAGGGCCCCCCTCCAGCAGACCCAAAGGCCTCCGCTCTTATGGCCTCTGGCAAGGTGATATTGGGAGACTGGGATGCATCCTTAAAACAGGCCACTTTCCCCACATGACCCCAAGTCCTTTGGGTGACTTTAAAAGCCCCCGACTGATTCCGAACCTTGCAGGTGGCTTTAGCGACCAGCCTGGCCTGCACCTCTGGCCTCAGCTGGGCTTGCCCCTGAGTCTGTAAGGAGAGGGACTTCCCTGGGGACTCTGTGTGTGTGTGTGTGTGTGTGTGTGTGTGTGTGTGTGTGTGTGTGT